AGAGGATGAATTCGGTTGCATTGTGACCAACAGGGGGAAACTATTGGACTACAAATGCAGCGGTGAAAGCCAAACATGCAAAAGACCGTTCCAACGCCGCAGTCCTGCCCTTTGCTAGGAGGAATGGAGACAGTGAAAATTAAGGAAGTAGTTGATGCTTCCCATCAACAGGGGTCAATACTTTTAGTAGTGACTGCTGGGTCATAAAATGAAGATAAATGAATGAAGCCAAGTGTTTCTAATGATGGTCTCGAGGCTCAGGGAGACCTTTAAAATAACAAAAGAAAATTGAAACACAGTGGCGCCTCTGTAACAAGATTTGAGATTCAATACGGATCCAGTGCTTGCTACCCGTAAGATTTGCCTGTATTCCCCCAAGGGACGCCCAAAATACCTATATCAGGCCTTTCTTTCTTTGGTGTATGGCACTGAACTGGGTTTAAAAGTATATAGCAGTAGCCTGTAATCCCAGCACTTTGGGAGGCCAAGATAGGCAGGATCACCTGAGGTCAGGAGTTCGAGACCAGCCTGGCCAACATGGTGAAACCCCATCTCTACTAAAAATACAAAAAAAGTAACTGGGTGTGATGGCGCATGCCTGTAATCCCAGCTACTCAGGAGGCTGAGGCACAGAAATCTCTTGAACCCGGGAGGTGGTTCAAGTGAGCCAAGATGACGCCACTGCACTCCAGCCTGGCAACAGAGCAAGACTCCATCTCAAAAAAAAAAAAAAAAAAAAAAAAAAAAAAAGTATATAGCAGTAGGTGGATGACAGTTACCTGATATTTATAGGGCCAACAGAGCAAGTGGGAATTACACGCGGGAAGGCCTCCCAAAAGCCAGGGAGGAGGTGAAATGACCTAGGACTTGAGGAAGGAGTAGTAATTAGACACTAAACGGCTGGGGTAGGGAGAAGGGTGTGGAAGGAAAGAAAAAGAGAAGGTGAGGTCAAGAGCAAGTTCACGACAGCCCTGAATGTCATCCGATGAGTTTAGACTACACCTGTAAGAATTGAGCAACCACAGATCACTTTCCAGGGAGGCACCTGTGACCTGGAAGAGGAGGGGCTGTGAGCCACTCAGGCCCCAGGGCACAGCCAGGTCTGCATCTCTCTGCCTTCCCTCAGGGCAGCTGCCTCCCCCATCAGACCCTAGCCTGCTTTCTGGCCAGCTCCCTTAACAGCAGAAAGCTGCCTGACAGAGGTGAGCGATCAGACCCAGGAAGGGCACAAGGTGGAAGATCCAGGTGCGATCAGCCCAGCTGGGGAGATGGCAGGTAGCAGTTTCAAGGCCATCAACCCCAAGTTAGAGCTGCTGGTGCCAGGCCAAGGTTAGAAAGGCAGGGTCACTTTTGGCCGAGAAGGCACTGCACCATTCTGGTGAGGCCAGTGGAGTAAGGGACAGGACCAGGTTTATTATACCTGGACCAGAGGAAGCCCCTCCTTGGCTGCCAGCACAACCAGAGGCTGGTATATCATCAGAGCTGCACGCAGCCAGGCAGCCCAGAGAACCACTTGGCTGCTACCTGTGCTTCCTGGGAGCCACGGAGGTCCCTGGGAAACCAGCACAAAATCAACAGGACTTGGTCGTAATGGCTGCGCCCTGGCACTCTCTCTCTCTCTCTCCAACCCCTCCCTTTAGTAAAAGGCAACTCTCCTGATTAGTTTCTGGTTGCCCGTCATTGTTCCTGACTTGTAATCAATCTCAAGGTGTGCCAGGATGCTTTCTATTTGCTTGGAATTGCTTGCCTAGGCCTGCTGAGTTGGCAATCCTATTAGCAAGATTTTTTTTCACTGTGTTTGTGAAATGAAATAAAATAAAAAGGCCCTGTCTCCAGAGCGTTCTTTCTGCCCCATTTTTCTGAAAACCATCAGGCTCTAGGAAGATCATAAGGCCTTTTTATGAGGTGAAAGGTGCCTCTCTGTCTTTGGTGCTAGGAAGGGTTAGGAGAAGGCAAGCTGGCTCCTCCAGCCAGAGGCAGGCAGAGAAAAGTCCTTCCTTCCTCTAATGGGGACAGCATCCAGGTGAGAATGGAGGCAGAGATCCCTGACTGACTAAAGCTAAAAAAGCCATGCAACGGAAACCATGGCCACAAGGCTGGGTTCCAGGATAAGGGATTCAAGGTAGGGAGATGGGTCTCAGTCCCAGTTCTGTCCCTGCCATCTGGTGGCCTTGAGCAAGTGATTCAAGCTCTCTGTGAGTCAGTCTCACTTTTCCTCATTTGCGAAGTGGAAGGAACATTTCCTGCCTCATGAGGTGGCCATGAGGAGGAAATGAAATCTCAGATGTATAATTCCTTGGCTCAATGACTGGTGCAAAGACAACATCCAGCAAATATTTTGGTGGTTCCTTTTTGGACATTACATTCTATAGTGCTAGATCGTAGAGCCTGGCTTCTGATGGTGGAGGGAAGATGAGGGTCTTTTTTTCTGGTTGTTTGTTTGTTTGTTTGTTTGAGACGGAGACTCACTCTGTCACCCAGGCTAGAGTGTAATGGTGCAATCTGGGCTCACTGCAACCTCTGCCTCCGAGGTTCAAGCGATTCTCCTACCTCAGCCTCCTGAGTAGCTGGGATTATTGGTGCATGTATCCCGGCTAATTTTTGTATTTTTAGTAGAGATGGGGTTTCACCATGTTGGCTAGGCTAGTCTCGAACTCCTGACCTCAAGTGATCCCCTCGCCTCGACCCCCAAAAGTGCTGGGATTACAAATGTGAACCACCGCAACTGGTCTTTTCTGGGTTCTTTGGAGGGACTAATAAAGGTTTGGGAAAGACTTCGGGGGCCTGAAGCACACCGAGTACTCATGAGAAGAGAGGGCAGTAAGCTTTCCTGAAACTGCTCCAAGGACGTGATTTGCTGCAGGAGGACAGAAAAGCTCTTGCACCACTAACAGGGAGAATTCCAGGGCACTCTTCTGGGCCATGGACCTCATCGTCCCCCACACTGTGCTCCATGCCAAGAGTCTTTGCGTTAGAGTCTATGTGAAGCCCATTCTTAGCTGGCTGACTTCTCTATCACCCAGAGCACAGGCTCTGTGCACAATGAAGCACTCTTTACTTCATCCCATAGAGAGAGGGAAGAGTGAGCTCCCTGGTGAGACGTCAGGAGAAATTTAAAGAGAATGTCATAGAACAGAAATAAATAAAGAGTAAAATTCCTCCTTCAAACCACACTTGGATAGAAATCTTGTAGACATCCCCTAGCGAGATATTAAACACTAAGGCAAACACTTGTGTTGAAAAGGATCTGTGACAAAAAGCAGGGTAAAAAGTTGTGCCTACTATCTGAGCTATGTTGTTAAAATACACCTAAAAAATTCTAAGTCAGAAATACACCTTCTTGTCTCTAGGAAATAGATGATGAAGGGGTTTTTCTGTTTGTGTTTTTTTACTTCTCCCTACTCTTCTGTACTTTATTAATTTTTCAGTGAACATGTAGCTTTACGTAAGTTAGGTAACCCTTAACCAAAATGCTTGGGACCAGAAGTGTTTCAGATTCCAGACTTTGTCAGATTTGGGAATATTTGCATATACATAATGAGATATCTTAGGGATGGGACACAAGTCTAAACATGAAATTTGTTTATGTTTTATATACACCATATGTGTATAACCTGAAGGTACGTTTATACAATATTTTAAATAATTTTGTACATGAAACAAAATTTTGACTGCAAGACACCCCATGAGGTCAGGTGTGGAAGTTTCCACTTGTGGTTGTCATGTGGGCACTCAAAAAGTTGCAGATTTTGGATTTGGATTAGGAAGGCTCAACCTGTAACAGTAATAACAATAATAATAGGGAGGAGGAAGAAGAGGAGAAAAAGAATTTCTAACGTCCTCTCAGCCCTCTGTTCCCATTTAAAATCACGATTTTTTCCTCTCTGGATACCAAGAAGTAAGTGGAGAGGGGGAAGGAGGAACAACACAGTGACAAGTCCCCAGGCATCAGACCAGAATCGACAATTGGACCCAAGGCCACTCCCTAGGCCCTCGGGGTGCTGACAATGTAGGAATTACCCACCTTCCTGTTACCTTTCTTAGCGTCTCACATGCTACAGAAAGAAGAGATAAATGAAGCCAGTCATTTCCAAAGGTAATCTTACACCGAAGTTTAGTCCATAAAACAGATTAAAAAGGAGCCAGGTAGCTTATTGGGAGGGAGGGAAGGAAAAAGGAAGAGATGCTATAGTCCCAACCATTCCCCTTTATCTCCCCTCTCTGACCCCCTAGTCCAAAGGTCCTCCTTTTGACCACTGTGCCAAGAAAGAAAACACTTGAAAACCTTGTAATAGTCAACAGGCCTGTCATGTGGAGGGCAGAGAAGCTATTTCTAAGTAATTGGGAAATATACTTTTGCTCAAAATCCATTTCCATTCAAACAGCTTCTCCAGCTCTGTTTTAGAAACAAGCATTAAGGATGCTTTTATCAAACAAATACATCCTCTGGGAAGTGTGTAAGATTTGATTTGTGAATACATTTAAGTCTTTGACTTATCTGGTTGCTACATGGACCTTACAATTTATAAGACAGAATAAAATTGTGATTACTAGCAGTTGACTCAGGCTCATAATTATTTACTTGTTCCTGGTGAGTTCTGTGCTGGGCTCCCAAGGGGGGAAAAATATACCCTTTTAGGCTTATTTCTACCTAACTCTCTCCTGGAAGAACAGGTTACTGTCAGTTTTACTTTCGTGTTTTGTACAAATGGGGATTTGTGTGTTATTAGGACATATTTGCAACTATGATCTAAAATATTAAACGAATATGTCTTTTCTGCATTTTGATGGCTTAACTTGTCTCGGCACCTTTCTGAAGTCTAGACTGTGGGAATGCGAAGCTCTCAGTAGCCTTCAAACACATCCACCAGGTCTCCATCTGTTTGGCCACTGCAGGGTTGTTTCGTTTCTTTGGTCTTTAGAGAGGCAGCAGGCGGCATCTCTAAAAATAGTGTCATAAGTGAGTGTGCCTGTAGGCTGGGGGGCTCAAAGGGCCACTGTGAGTGCATTTATAGATTGTCGTGTGTTATAGGGGCCCAGCTGAGAGGGACCACACAAAGCGCAAGACAGGGCCGTCAGAGATGTCAGCCTCTCCTTGGTCCCCCAGGCAGCCAAACCTCTGCCAGGAGCCTGCACTGAGGACAGCAGCAGAGACTAAGCAGTGTCAGGTAAGGCTCTGCAGGGAGATTGCCTGCTTCCGCAGTCACTTCCTGGGTGACCCTGAGCACATTTTACCACCTCCTTGAGCTCGTGTACTCAACTGTAAAATGGAAATAATCGGCCAGGTGCGGTGTTTCACGCCTGTAATCCCAGCACTTTGGGAGGCCAAGGTGGGCGGATCACCTGAGGTCAGGAGTTAGAGACCAGCCTGGCCAACATGGTGAAACCCCATCTCTACTAAAAATACAAAAATTAGCCGGGCATGCTGACGCATGCCTGTAATACCAGCTACTCCAGAGGCTGAGACAGGAGAATGGCTTCAGCCCAGGAGGCAGAAGTTGCAGTGGGCCAAGATCACACCACTGCACTCCAGCCTGAGTGACAGAGCGAGACTCTGTCTCAAAAAAAAAAAGGAAATAATCATAGGCATTTGTTATGAAGACATTTTATATAACCACAATGGCATCATGATTACTTAAGAAAATGCCTATAACTTCTAGAAATCCTTACTAAGCATGTAGAGATGAAATAACATGAGGCCTAGGATGGGCTTTAAAGTAATTCAGCAAATACAAAGACAGGAATTATTCCATTTACATTCAGGTCAAGAAGAGGCACAACTAATCTATAATGATTTTTAAAAAAAGATCATTGATTGCCTTTGGAAAAGGGCATCAGGGAACTTTCTGGAGTACTGGAAATGTTCTACAACTTGATTTGACTGCTAATAACACAGAGATAAACATTTGTTAAAATTCATTAACCAGCCGGGCGCGGTGGCTCACACCTGTAATCCCAGCAGTTTGGGAGGCCTAGACGGGCGGATCATGAGGTCAGGAGATGGAGACCATCCTGGCTGACACGGTGAAACTCCGTCTCTACTAAAAATACAAAAATTAGCCAGGCGCAGTGGCAGGTGCCTATAGTCCCAGCTACACAGGAGGCTGAGGCAGGAAAATGGCGTGAACCCGGGAGGCGAAGCTTGCAGTGAGTGGAGGTCACACCACTGCACTCCAGCCTGGGCAACAGAGAGAGACTCCGTCTCAAAAAAAAAAAGAAAAGAAAAAATTAATTAACCTGCAAATGGTTCAGAAAAATAATAATAGCATGTTGGCAAAGAATCTTTGCTTAGCCAAACTTTATTCAGGCTTCTGAATCTCCTCCTAGGCCCATCTGTGTGCTTCCTACAAGGTCCAGTTTTAGCAAAGAACCCCATTAAGTCAGTTTAGCAGGAAACCCCTATCCTTGACATGTGACCAACCTCCAGCATTCCCCAGGTGATGTCTGATCAAGTTGGCCTATCTTTAGCAAGAATAGTGTTAGGTTCGTTTAGCTAGAATCTCCCTTACCCTTGCTGTTTCCTCTTAGTAATTTTCCATCCATTGACCCCACAGTGTTTCTTGGCTGTAAATTCCCACCTGCCCATGTTGTATTCAGAATTAAGTTCAATCTCTCTCCCTCACTGCAAGACCCTGTTACAGTGGCCCCCTTTTTTTTTTTTTTTTTTTTAGACAAGGTCTCACTCTGATGCCCACGCTAGAGTGAAGTGGCACGATCGTAGCTTACTGCAGCCTCCGTCACCCAGGCTCAAATAATCCTCCCACTTCAGCCTCCACGCCTGGCTAATTTTTCTTTTTCAGTAGAGACAAGGTCTCACTATGTTGCCTCAGCTGGTTTTGAACTCCTGTGCTCAAGTGATCCTCCCACCTTAGCCTCCCAAACTATTGGGATAACAGGTGTGAGCCACGCACCTGGCATAATTGTTTCTTTAACAGTAAGTGTATTCAGAAAAATATTAACAATTGGATATGTGGATAAAGTTTGATAAGTAATGATAAAAACAAGTATGATAAAATGTTAACACTCAGGGAGTTCCAGTCAAGGGTATATGGAAATTCTTTGTATTATTTTACAACTTTCTGTAAGTATGAATTATTTCAAAATAATAAAAGTTTAAAAACTCATCAAACTATACGCTTTAAACTGGTTGATGAATTTTACTGTGTACAAATTATACGTCAAAGAAAAAGTTAAAAACCAGACTAGAAAGCAAATGTAGCAAAATCTTGATAAATGCTGAGTCTGAGTGAGAGATGTATGGAGGTTCATTTTACCATCTTTTCTACTTTTGCGTGTGCTTGGCTATTTTCTTTTTCCTTTTTTTTTTTTTTTTTTTTTTGAGATGGAGTTTTGCTCTTGTTGCCCGGGCTGGAGTGCAATGGCATGATCTCAGCTCACTGCAACCTCTGCCTCCCGGGTTCAAGCGATTCTCCTGCCTCAGCCTCCCGAGTAGCTGGGATTACAGGCATGTGCCATCATGTGTGGGTAATTTTGTATTTTTAGTAGAAACAGGGTTTTTTCATGTTGGTCAAGCTAGTCTCGAACCCCTGACCTCAGATAATCCACCCGCCTCGGCCTCACAAAGTGCTGGGATTACAGGTATGAGCCACCGCACCCGGCCTATGCTCGGCTAATTTCTAATGCAAAAGAAATTTTAAAAAATTAAAACAATTGAAAATATCGGCTAAGCTCCTGGCCCAGTGCCCAGTGCAGTGTGGCATCCCCCTCTGCAAATGGCTCATGGCTGCTACCCTGCATCTTTCCTCTGGGACAGTCAAGGGATTACACATATGTCACGCTGTTCATGCTGGTATTATCTGTGACCATGCTTGACAAAAAATGCACCCCAAGCTGTTTTTCTCTGACCTCGAGCTAAAAGACTTAAAAAAAGCAGCCAGCCAAAATTGAAGATAAGTGTCCTTTCTGAACTCCCACTTAGGTGAATGACTTTGTGCAGGCATCTCTTTAAACAGCTGCAACCACAGCAAGGCCATGAGGAAAAGTCACAGAGGACAAAAACAGAGATATTTAAATACCTTGGAAGCCAAGAGGAACCACTCTAGATCTAATTTCACTTTTGCAAGATAAACATTTGCTTTGGCTGAGACAGGAAACAAAAGTAAGGGCTGATGACCTTTGAGGTGAATCAAACACATCTCTTAAGAAGGTCTCAATTTTTAGGAGAATGACAGCCACTTGTTCCCAAGGGCTGAACAGGAGCACTAAACCAGAAGGAAGAAGACCTGGGTTCTTTTCCCACCCACATCACTGGTGATCCACACGACCTTGGGTAAGTCACTTCCTCCTCCCTAGGCCTCTTTCCTCCACTGACAAATGAGGGTTTGAACCCATAGAACCTGTAGGGACGTTCCAGCTTTGTGGTTCTTTAAAACAAACATTGATTGGGAAAGACTCCAGGGCAAGGAAGGAGCAGGAAATGTGCCCCATACAGTCATCCAAGAGTCAAAGCCTGGGAAGTTTCCAGAGCCTAGGCAGGAGATAAATGAGGAAAGATATGTGATGTGGCCAAATCTCCAAATTTTCATGAGAAATGGAAAATCTAGATGCTTATGTCCAACCTCCTGGTTTTCAAATGATACTAATTAATTCAATTTTTTTTTTTTTTTTTTTTTTTTTTGAGACGGAGTCTCACTCTGTAGCCAGGCTGGAGTGCGGTGGTGTGATCCCTGCTCACTGCAACCTCTGACTCTCTGTTTCAAGCTATACTCCTGCCTCAACCTCCCGAGTAGCTGGAATTACAGGCACATGCCACCACGCCCAGCTAATTTTTGTATTTTTAGTAGAAACAAAGTTTCACCATGTTGGCCAGGATGGTCTTGATCTGCTGACCTCGTGATCTGCTTGCCTTGGCCCTCAAAGTGCGGGGATTACAGGCATGATCAAATTTTTAAAATAAATGCTTGTGAGCCTAATAAAAATTGCCTGAACAGAAGTAGGTCCCCAGGCTGCCAGATTATGTTTTTTGTGTGAGGTCATGTCATCTCCTAAATGGGGGTAAATGAGGATCTCTGATCTTTTCAACATTGATCTTTCAACTTCAAAGCTGAAGACAAATTTTAACGACAAATACCTAAACCATGTAACTCTTAGAGAAATGTCTTTTGAAACTTTTTTTTTTTACCGTAACTCACAGCAAAGAGTCCATTTTACATTGCCAGTGGTCACACACACATACACACACATGCATATACACATACAAAATCAGAAGAAAAGATTCACAAAACGTATGCTTACTACATGCAATACACACTGATATTTTCTATTCTATTTTACTTCATGTTAATGCAGGTAGCAACCCATTTAACTGATTTTATGGGTCATATTTGCAAAACATTAGAGTTTATATTTACTTAATTCTCATTTAATTCCCCTTATCACCTTATGAGGTATTATTATCATCCCCATTTTACAGAACAGAAAAATGAATCTCAAGCTTCGCACTCCAGATCCACCTTTTTTTCTCTTATTATTTTAACCAAGAAAGACATGAATGAGGGGAATTAAAACATGTCAAACGGCCAGATCAGAAAGGAAGAGTCCCAGAGGCAAAGCAATCAAGGAGGACCTTGGGGAGAATTTTAAAAATGAAACAAGAGGATTAAGGCTGTGTGCTGTGAAGCATACAACTTACAAACTCCTCTTTGTCTCCCCTGTGAAATCTGCAGGAAAATCTGCATGGCTCCCCATGCTGATGGGTGAGTGGCTGCTTCAAGGAGGAGCCAGATTTGTTATCCAAGTGGCCCAAGCAGACTCAAAGAGAACACGGGTTACACCAGAGGCTGGGAGGTTGCTACTGTCTAGATCACATTCATGAACTTGAAACCACCTCCAGACTTGTAGGAATGGGGGACTGGTGGTTGCAGGGTGAGGAGACAATGGGTAGGCATCGAATCCAGAGCCATCTGACCGCCAGGCATGGCCTGGGAAAACTTACCACTGGACTCTATTAATGAACAGACAAAAGTTCCATGTCTTCTCCACAGGCAATGATCAGAGAAGAGAAGAGGAGACAGAAGTCCAGCCCCTGATGTCAGTGAAAGACTGACATAGTGAGAGATTTGATTTATTAAGAGTGATGAACCTTGCTCCTAATTGAACCAGTCAGCTGAATCTAATGGTACTCTTTCTAATCAATCTTATTGCAACCATTTGGGACGGGGCAGGAGCCTAGCAACACCTAGCACCGCCTAGCACAACCCAGCCCAGCCCAGCACAGCACAGCACAGCCCAGCACAGCACAAACATTGATTGCGCAAGGACTCCAAGGCAGGAACTTGTAACACATCTGGGCTGTATTCTAGAATGGTTGAGTCTATTCCCCACTCTTAGTCTCTTTTCTGTCTTCTGCCTCCAGGTGCCTAAAGAGAACAAATGGAGATGGGTGTCTGTTTACAAAGCCGAGCAGCAACGATTTCAAGTATCTGCTTTGGGTAACTTTCTGCATTCTCCAAAGTTGATCCTTCCAGTGTGGTATAAACACAGTTGTTGGGCAATGTTTAAAGTCAATGAGTCTTAGATTACCATCGCAAAAGTCAATTAACAAGGCAATTTCTTCCCTTGATTTGTATTTGTATATTATTAATGAACTACAAGACCTCCTAGTGAGGTAAATTAGCCTAGGTAACTGGGGAGCAGAGTACAAACATTTCTTTTTTCTTTAATGGCCCCAAACATTTATCTCATACAGAGAAAACAATATACAAGTCCAGGGAGGGCTCCCTGTTCCTGCAGCCAAGGAAGCACACCAGAGCAGCTCTGATAAATATTGATGTCTGTTTATCAAAATGCCACAGGCCGTCCTGGCTAGCTGCCACCTCCTCCCACCCTCGTGCAGTCCTAACTGGCAGGACTCACTATGTAAGGAGGAGATACAGAAACCTCAACTGCCATTGCTGAAGGACTTTTAGCCTTTGTTTCCTGAATACAAAAAATAAAAATGAAAAATTGTCCTGACCTACAAGGGTTGGTGCCAGCCAAAGGACCAACATCCTCTCTTTAATGAGAGGGCAGAAATATAGACGCTTATGTACAAAGAGAATGGTAATTGAAGAGATCTCTGCCTCACTGAAATAAGCAGCTTAGGGATATGTGAATGCTCCCCAAAAATGCTGCCTTGTTACAAAATCAATGCCATTAAGAAATAAATTGTGCTACATGTAAGTTCCAGAGGATTAACACAGAGACATTGATAGCCACCATTCGACATGTCATGATTGAGTTATGTGCAAGGCCATGTGAAGAATACCATTAATTTAATCCCGTTTACCTATTTTTAAGTAACACTGTTCAGCCCCAAAATGCTGGGGGACTGATAGCAGAGTAAAATTTAATAATTCATGTGTTAATCCCTTTAAGAAATATTGATTGAATGCTGATCATGTAGATGCCAGACAGTAGGCATGGAACAGAAACTGAAAAAGAGACAGTCCCTCAAGGAACCCAGCAACTAGTTGGGGAGACAGACAGGTGGGTAAAGCATTATATAGCAGGCTGTAACAGAGAGGTGCACCCCAGCCCCTGTGACACACAGGAAGGAACAGTTCATTAGAAACAGCCAAAAAGGTGTCCTGGGGAGAAGCCAGGTGCCCTCTGCTCATGCCCTCTATTTTACCCCACGTTGATTCCTGCTCCTGGGATGATAAACATATTCCTCCAGGTGGCCTTCCCAGAAGGGCTGGCAGACCTCAGATGGGCAGATTTCAGATAAGCAGATCTTGATGGGCAACCCTCAGCTGGGCTGGCAGATGAGCAGACCTCCATGGGCAGCTTTCAGATGGGCAGACCTCAGTGAACAGCTCTCAGATGAGCAGACCTCAATGGACAGAGTGCAGATGGGAAGATCCCGGGTGGACATCTCCTTATGCCCAAAGAATCCCATCCTCTCCCTTTAGAGACACTGTAAAAGAAAACTAAAGATAGCTCCAAATTAATTTTCTTTCTGATAAAGTGTCCTGTTTTCTGTTTGCTGAGGCTCCTTTGAGAGCTCCTTGATACACTGTAGTTGAGGCTGACACAGAGAGAGCCCTGGGGGGCTTCCACAGGACCAAGGATTTCAGGATCCTCTTAAAATGATCTAGGGAGATCCACATGGGGTCAGAGGCCTGGCAGAGAGTCTCAAGCAGCCTCTTCTACCTGCAGATGGCAAAAAAAAAAAGCTGAGCACAACTGCCCGATGGCTCACTCCTCCATGATCCTGTGGGTCTGCGTGTGTGTGTGTGTGTGTGTGTGCGCGCGCGTATACATTTACATGTTATGGGTTTCTACAGGAATGGCATAATGAATATCTATACTCAAAGTTCCTTTTGTCTGGAAGATGCCCCACCTCCCAGCCTCTACCTCTCAACTTCACCCACTTAAACACCTACTCACCCTTCAGATCTCAAGGAAATAACCTTCCTCAGGGAAGCCTTCCCCGCCCCCTCAGGCTGGTTGCCCGAGTTGCTCATACTCACGCTCATTGTGCCAAAGCACTGTTCCTCCAAGGCCTTTGTTAAAGCTTGAAAATACGCGTTTATTTGCATCGTTTTCCTTTATCTCTGCCTGCCTCTCCCTTGGCTATAAGCTCCATGTGGGAAATAGAAGTCCAGCTTTTTCACCTCTGTAATCCTAGCTTTAGCTAAATGCCCAGAACTTAGTTATGTACTCAACAAACTCTCACTGATTTTTGAATGAACATCAAGGAACAAGACTCTCCCCAGAACCTGTTTCTCTTGTTGTCCCCACACTCCTGCCTGGTTTGGCTTTCTGTTTGGTTTCAGGCTTTGCCTTGTTGATCAAAAGCGTTATAGTCAAATATAAAGTCTTTCAACTTCCAAACATGTCATGTGCCACTGGGTCTAAAGGAGGCATGCAAAGGCACTATGACAAAATAATGAACCTTAATTTTTATTAAGGTCTGCATCCAAAATAAGCCAAATGTTATACCAATAGTAGTACATATTTGTTGTTTCAGAGAGAAGATTATAATAGGTAAAAATCAATAATGTTTTTGTTCCAGTAGATTAACTTCATGCTTAGAACAGAAAGAGAATCTAAATGGATGGCTTTTCTGCTTTTTCCTTCTCAGTAACCTGATTTGGTTATACCAAAGGGAAGAGTTGGCAGAGACAGAAAATTAGAAGGCTAAGGACATTTTCTAAAGCAGGAAGGAAGGTTTGAAAAGAAGGTTAGAATCTCCCTGACCTGTCAAGTTGGTGGCTGAAAGGAACTTACCTGGCTGGTAGTCTGCCCTTCAAAATTATCTTTGGCCTTCAAGTAGGAACTTCCAAGGGTATCTGCTGCTGTCAGATACCCTTGGACAAAGACCCCCAGACACAAGATCTCATCCCTTAGCAAGAGTTGGTTGGTCCAAGGTTGAGTGAGTTTCTCTCCCTGGAATTTGGAATCAGGCCACAGAGCCATATGCCTTTCTCTTAGGCACTTGAAATGGGATGTGAAGATAGGTCAGGTTCAAGGTGCCTGGACTGGCCCCATGAGTGAAGAACCAAAGAGAGCCAGCCTGCAGGCAGAGAGAGAGAAATGACAAACGAGGAACGGTCAGTTGTCAAGATGGCCACCCCATTCCCAATTGTCTAGGTTCTGAGCCTTGTCTATTATGAGGCCAGCCTGAACTTCCCGTCCTTGGAATTCATAATATTCCCTCGAGTCCTCCTAGAAAGTGCCCTTCCTCCACATTTTTGGTTGTCAAAGTTAGTTGAAGTGTTTCTGTTCCTTGTAAATTAGCTAACTGTGGCTGTTGTAACAAACTGCCACCAACTGGGTGGCTTTGACCAACAGAAACTTATTCTCTCACACCTCTGGAGGCCAGAAACCTGAAATCAAAGCATCAGAAGGCCATGCTCCTTCCTAAGCCTCTGGGGGAAGATTATTCTTTGCTTCCTCCAGCTTCTGCTGGCTCCAGATAGTCCTTGGCTAGCAGTTGCACAACTCCAGTCCTGCCTCCATCTTCACATGACCGTCTCCTCTTGTCCCTATGTCTTCTCCTCTCCTCTCTCTTGTCGCTTGTCACCTATTTAATCCAGAACGACCTAGATCCTTAACTATATCTGCAAAGACCCTTTTTCCAAATAATGTCACATTTATAGGGACCAGAAGTTAGGAGTTGGACATATCTTTTTGGAGGCCACCATTCAACTCACTATACCTTGCAGCCCACTGGGCCGTAAGATGAGTTTACCAAATATTCCTGAGCAGCCTCGCAGAGTATGAGCGATCAGCTGATGCACAGCCCACAACATAAACTGTTTATAGATTCTAAAGGATGATATGTGAATAAGGCAATTGGAGTTTTTTTAATGGGAAAAGTGTTTTGTGGCATTTTGTTTTTGAATATTCTCGGATGGAGTGAAGCCTTGGTCTGTTACATCTGAAGTCCCATCTTCTCTAGTCTCTTTTGAATAATTGTAGTGTAATGGCCACTGTGATATACTGCTAGATGCTAGCTGCTGTACTTGACCTTTTTTTTGTTTTTTTTTTTTTTTAGTCAGAGTCTTGCTCTGTTGCCCAGGCTGTAGTGCAGTGGCAGGATCTCGGCTCACTGCAACTTCTGCCTCCAGGGTTCAAGCGATTCTCCTGCCTCAGCCTCCTAAGTAGCTGGGACTACAGGCATGCGCCACCACACCCAGCTAATTGTATTTTTAGTGGAGATGCGGTGTCACCATGTTGGCCAGGCTGGTCTCGAACTCCTGACCTCAGGTGATCTGCCCACCTTGACCTCCCAAAGTGCTGGCATTACGGATGTGAGCCACTTTGCCTGGCCTGTACTTAGCTCTTTATATGGCATCTCACTTCGAATCTTTACCATGATCTTTTGATGGTGGGATTATTATCCCCATGAGTCACACCCAAGTAGGTCAGTGCTTTAAGCCACCAGGATGGCCTTTTTCAAGATCTGGCACTTTGCGGGCTATGGATATTAAAAGATCTAATGCGGGCAGCACCTGCCAAGTGCCAGTCAATACATTTGGTGCACTATGTTTGTTATCTCACGTGATCTTTACAGTTTCTCCTTGAGGGAGGCAGTGCAGAAAATAGAGGAAGGCCGATCCCATTAACCAAGGCTTCTCACGGACATAACCTGCTGAAGTCAGTGAGACAAAGTCTCAGATATTCCAGCTCCTGTGGGCCCAGGGGGATCAGCCCCTACAGAGCTACTCACAATAACTTAAAGAAACATGACACATGTGGACAAGAGAATGGCAATTGGAAACTGAAGGTGACAAACACCCCTTGAATTGGAATGTTCTTCTTACTTGAGAAGCTGCCAATCTCACCTCCCAAGCTGTGATCTGGAAGGGAAGTAAAGTAAAGCAGCCCCCAAGGGCGAGCCCAAGAGAGAAAGTTTAAAACTTCTCTAGGCAAGTTTTTCACCTTAGTAATTTCCCAGCCCAACCCCAGGAGAGGATTTCCTTTCAAAAGCCTCACGCTGTACTCATAATTTCCCTCTTCCTTCTAATTGCCAATAGTACTGCTTCCCCTCCTCCTCTCTCCCTAAGAGTTGAGGACACGGAGTTCAGATCAAAATCACAACTTTCCTTCCCCCTCCATTCCTCCTCGCGTAGCTCCATCCACACAGTCATCCAAGTCAGCCACCTGGACGTCTCCCTCAGCTCCGCTTGGCCCTCTGCCCCAGAGCCATCGGGCATCAAGTCCTGCCTACCTATCTGCCTCTCAGTGACTTCCCCTCTCCCTAGCCCTCATTGCCCTGGATTAAGTCCCCAGCATCTCTCTCCTGGACTTCGTCAGGTCTCTCTGCCTCCATCAGTTCTTTGGGGTTTTTTGTTTTTTGTTTTTGTTTGTTTGTTTGCTTGTTTTTGTTTTTGTTTTTTTGAGACGGAGTCTTGCTCTGTCTCCCAGGCTGGAGTGCAATGGTGCAACCTCGGCTCACTGCAAGCTCCGCCTCCCAGGTTCACGCCATTCTCCTGCCTCAGCCTCCCGAGTAGCTGGGACTACAGGCACCCACCACCATGCCTGGCTAATTTTTTGTATTTTTAGTAGAGATAGGGTTTCACCATGTTAGCCAGGATGGTCTCTATCTCCTGACCTCGTGATCCACCCGCCTCGGCCTCCCAAAGTGCTGGGAGTACAGGAGTGAGCCACCGCACTGGCCTGTTTTCTTTTTTCCTTTTTTTTTTTTTTGAGATGCAGTCTCACTCTGTCGCCCAGGCTGGAGTGCAGTGGCACAATCTCGGCTCACTACAACCTCTGCCTCCCGGGTTCAAGTGATTCTTGTGCCTCGGCCACCTGAGTGACTGTGATTACAAGCACACGCCACCACGCCTGACTAATTTTTGTATTTTTAGTAGAGACAAGGTTTCACCATGTTGGCCAGGCTGATCTTGAACTC